TTGTGATGATGTGAGGTAGGCCATCTTGTGGTGGTTATCTTTTGATGATGTCGTGTGAAGGTGTGACGCCACCTAGGTTTTTATTATGTAGGATGATTATTAGTTTTCTGTCACTGAAAACTGAAATATTATTTATGAAACATCACATTTTTGTAACCTCACTATAAGTATTGTCCTTACATCATATTTTGTTTGTTTCCTCCCATCTTCTTGCCAGAGGATTCCCTTCACCATCCTATCTAATAAAAAGTAATATGCAAATTGACCATATTTCCACTATACCCACTAGCCACGCTCACTTGCCACACACACACACACACACACACACACACACACACACACACACACACCAGCCAATCAGAGTGAGTATGCAAATTAACCCAACCAAGATGGTGCAGCCACAGAGAGCAGGAGGGAGGCTTGGATTTACCAGGCAATAGAGGAAGCCAAGCTTTCCACACACCCTGGCAGGCCCAGGCCTCCACTCAAGGCTACAACGTTTCAATTATAGAAGGTAAACAAAACCACCAAACAAATGGCAGCAGCCACTGAGCTGGAACAGTAAGAGGCTAAGGTTGCCCCAGGCAATGGAGGAAGCCAAGCTTCTGCAGCCCTGGCCAGCCTAGACCTCTGCTCCAGGCTACAAAGTTTCAATTATAGAAGATAAATAAATTCCAACAGAAATGGGGGTGGCCATGGAGCAAGCAGGAGGCTTGGCTCTGCTCTAGGCTACAAAGTTTCAATTGTAGAAGGTAAATAAATTCCAGATACCAGGGCCTCCGCTTGGGTCACTAGGGGACATGGCTGGCCTGCAAACCACCACAGGCCCCTCGTTGAAGCCACCCCACAGCCCAAGGGAACCCCCACCCTGATCTGGGGCACCCTTCATGGCAAACCAGCTGGCCCCCACCCATGCACCAGGCCTCTATCCTATCTAATAAAAGAATAACATGCAGATTAACTATCACTCCAATACACAAGATCAAGATAGCTGCCCCTATGTGGTCAAAGATCCTGCCCCCATGTGGACACAAGATGGCCAACTGGGGAAGGCAGTTGGTAGGGACCAGGTCTGCAAGGAAGGGCTGTTGGGAGGCACCAGGCCTGCAAGGGAGGGCAGTTGGGGATGATCAACCCTGCAGGGGAGGGCAGTTAGGGGTGACCAGGCCGGCAGAGGAGGAAAGTTGGGGGCAAACAGGCTGGCAGGGAAGCAGTTAGACATCAATCAGGCTGGCAGGGGAGTGGTTAGGGGGTGATCAGGCTGGCAGGCCGAAGCGGTTAGGGGCAATCAGGAAGGCAGGCAGGTGAGCAGTTGGGAGCCAGCAGTCCTGGATTGAGAGGGATGTCCGACTGTCCGTTAAAGGCAGACATCCCTCAAGAGGTCCCAGATTGGAGAGGGTACAAGCAGGGCTGAGGGACACGCCCTCCACCGCGCATGAATTTTGTGTACCAAGCCTCTAGTTTATCTATAATTAACAGTACTGTATCTTACTATCCTTCCTCACAGTTTTGCCCCTTTGATATTTTCTTGCATGGATGGATGGGAGCACATTTTGTAAGGGCCATAGCACTAGTCTTTCAGAGGTTGCTTTTTTGATAATTTCTGGTGGGTTGAAGTTAGAAGAATCTGTCTTGATCTCTTTACTCCCCTATTTCCCAAAAGGAAAGACATTTACTATAGCAACAACAGGGCCATAAATATTTTTTTCCAATCACTCCTTGCCTCCTTATAGCTTTACAGGGTTATGGGCAGCTAACATAGGAACTATTCCTATCGGAATGTCACAGTTGGGAAATGGTTTGAGGCGTGTCATAAGACTCTCCCACCAAAAGTCTTTCTCTCTCTCTCTCTCTACACACACACACACAGGTTTGCTTGAATCTTTACCGTAAGTCTTTCTCTCTCTCTCTACACACACACACACACACACACACACACACACACACACACACACACACACATACACACACACAGGTTTGCTTGAATCTTTACCATGGTGCCTCTTTGAAAAGATGTTTGCCCGTTTGGGATAATATCTGGAAAGTATTGCCCTCTATAGCTGGCATTCCCTGTCTGTAACCATCTTGTGTTCACATATATGGGTTCTAGAACAACAAAATTTCTATTAAAATTTCTTTTATGTTTCCTTATAATAGGAAAGGTCTTTTCCTTTTGAATTCTGGTGGTATTGCTTACTATCAATATTAAGTGTTTTGAACTAAGGTAACATTGGGGACAAGTCTTATAGTTCTTATATATAGTTGGTGTCAAAATCTAGAAATTCCTTGATGACAGCCATACTACCTTATATATCATTGTGTCACATGCCTATGAGCATTGTAAATTTGACAGAATGACAAGAAATTTGGTAAATGAGGGAAAAACAATGACTAGAGAAATAGTAATGCAGATTTAGGGAACAGGTGTGCAATATTATAAAAATGTCTTTTAAATCACATTAAAAATTAATGGCTTTTCTAATTATATAACTAGATATGAACTTTGGAGGGAGTCACATAGAAAATGCTTTTACATGGTCAGGCAGATAACTAAGTAATACGCTTATCCTTGATCAGTCCATAGTCTTTTGGGCTGTGATCAAATTTTGCTTTACATTCCCATACTTATCCTATCTAATAAAGGAATAATATTCAGATTGATCATCACTCCAACTACTAGATGGCTGCCCCCATATGGTCAAAGGTGGCCACCCCCATATGGACACAAGATGGCCAGCAGAGGAGGGCAGTTGTGGGTGATCAGGCCAGCAGGGGAGGACAGTTGAGAGGGACCAGGGCTGCAGGGGAGGGCAGTTGAGAGGGACCAGGGCTGCAGGGGAGGGCAGTTGAGAGTGATCAGGCCTGCCGAGGAGGGCAGTTAGGGTAACCAGGCCTGCAAGGGAGGGCAGTTAGGGGAGACCAGGCCTACAGGGGAGGGCAAGTAGGGGTGACTGGGCAGACAGGGGAGGGCAGTTGGGGGTGACTAGGCCCGCAGGGATGATTAGGGGTGACCAGGCTGGCAGGGGAGGACAATTAGGGGTGACCAGGTTGGCAGGGGAGCAGTTAGGTGTCGATCAGGCTGGCAGGTGAGTGGTAAGGGGGTGATCAGACTGGCAGAAAGAAGCTGTTAAGGGGCAATCAGGAATGCAGGCAAGTGAGTGGTTGGGAGTTAGCAGTCTTGGATTATGAGAGGGATGTCCCAGATTGGAGAGGGTGCAGACTTGGCTGAGGGACACACACACACACACACACACACACACACACACACGGTGCACTAATTTCGTACACCAGCCTCTAGTATTTAATAAATTATTCAATTTAAAAATTGTAATAGGAATAGCAAAATACTAAGTGAAGACAATGTTAAAGAAGTAATCTTGTCACTTGAACAAACCATATTTAGCTTTTCTGTGTATATTTTTATGTGTTTATGTAGATTATGTAATCATAGTCACAATGTATTTTTGTTTGCTTTTTTTTTTAGCTAACATTATAATTTTTCATAAAATCATTGGATTTTAATTTTACCCACAATATCGGATTATGTGACCTGGCATAATCCTAGCATCTGTGTAGAAATTTTGTCAACATAGTTTGTAGGCCATGGGCAAGAAAGACTTTCTTAGGGCAGTACATTAAATACCATTTGGTTACTTTTTTCCCAGCAGTGTTCCCTTGGGGATCTAGTTTAATTTTGTGGCTAACCTGAAAGAAGATATATTGTTGCACTAGTAGAAGTTCATGGGGGAAATTTTTTTTGTATGTTTCTGTTTTCTAACCGTATCATGATTGAAAATTAGAAAAAAAGAAGTGATTATGTAGTTTAGAAGATCTTTTGATTGTGAGTCAGGGCCTTTTTATAGAAAGTGAAAAAAATATTACTAATTGATGTGTTTATGAAATGGCTCTGTTAGTAGAACTTGAAGTTCTTTCATAGTTTAAAGATATCTAAGTTAGATGTTTGAAAGTAGGACTGTATTTGAGTTACGTCTTTGAACCTTTTAGCTTTTTCTTCCTGTGTGATCTTGGGTAAGACATTTAATCATAACTGTGTAAAGTAGTAATAAAAATATCTGATGCCAGTTATGATTATGATGATGAATAGTTCATGATCTACAGCGCTACTGTGAAATAGGGGGAATTTTTAAAAATTGTGTAGGACTCTTTAGAACAACTATTTCATTATAGGACAAATTGTCAAAAGGCATCCATTCTTACAAGCAAGCATAGGTCGATAAGGCAGGCACCTGGAAGCTGACTGTTTAGCAAGCACTTCTTGGCCACACGTGGCTTCCAGACATGCTTAATTTACTTAAGCTGAGGTCATTCTTGCAGAACCAGATAGCCCTGTCCAGGACAGGGTGAACTGACTCACCTTGTTTCTTTCCTGTAGAGCCTGGCCCTATGTCAAGTTGGTTCTTGTTTAGATTGAGACAAATCCTCAGTCTTTTATAATTAGTAGCTTCCAGCATATCCCTTGAATGCTAAGGATAAAAGATTTCTGCTAGTCTTCCTACCCCAAATCAGTTGTGATTCAAATAGATTTTTATACTAGTGGGGGGACAATGAGATCTTTCTTTTATTTAACTACTTCAGAAAAGATAGTGTTGTTTTTTGGTGTGTTTTTTTCTATTAAAGTTGGGGTTTGAGTGGAAGAGATAGATAGGCTGGTGACAGAAGGATTACACAGCACAAAATATTATTAATCTAGTCAAGCAAACTGAGACTTGATATGGACAGAATAGCTGAGACCAAACCCCTTAGAACTTAGGTAGTTGAGAATATCTTATTTGTTATATTGATTAAAAGGGTAACTGAAAAACTAGGGTTGGCTATAAGTTTAAGTTTACTGTTTTCATTTTTGGTGGGTGGGAGTTAAATGAACTGTTATTCAGGAAATAGTGGCCAAAATAAAATAGCCATACACTTTTAGCTAGTCACTCCTGCATCAATGAGAATCATTGTTTTGTTAACTTCATCAACATGTTCATTTCTTTCAGCTCCATGTTCATGCATGTCTTTTAACCCGGAAACAAGAAGACTGTCCATAGGTCTAGACAATGGTACAATCTCAGTAAGTACACATAAATAAGATTTCCAGTTAAAATTATTCCCTTCCTGTGGAATATGTATATATGTATTGTGATGAGAATTATTTATTAGGTTTTTTTCCCAATTAACATGAATTTTCTTGCTAAGTAAAGTAAAAATTGCAGTGCAGAAATTTACGTTGAGGTATAGGGAGTGCTATCATTAGACTCAATGCTGATAAAATTCAGCTTGATTTACAGTGTATACAGTGCCTAGAATAGGGGCATTATGAGGCCAACAAGTGAACTACATGAATCTGTGTGTTAGTGGGAACAAACTGTGATACTAGAGGCTTTGATCAGGTTGTTAATAATGGTGTCATATGCTTCAGCACACAAGTGACAGAGCACCAGGGAAATGACTTTTTTTAGACCACATATCTGATCTTCTCTTTGATATTCTATGTTTTCTCCTTTCCTTCTTTCTTTTGTTCCTCGTTGTTCTCTTAACTCCCTGTAGCATGTGAGTTGAATTTGGTAAATTTGTATGAATTTTTAAAGAAAACACAGAATCTACATTTAGACTAAATAGTAGATCCAGGTAAATATTAGACCCTTCAATTGAAGATCTCAAGGGAACTGAAGTTATTAAAGATTGGGATCTCAGATTTTACCACTTACTGTAATCTTCTTTTTACATACAGTCAAACCTCATTTCTCAAACATCTCCCATCTAGAAATGTTTGGCTCTTGACCGAGTTGTTCATAGAAAAAAATGTCTTGGGGTCAAACCAAACTTCGGTTTTCAACCTGACAACCCTTTCAAGATGATATCTCATCGTGACAAAAAGTGTCTCTCTGGCAATAAAAGAGAGAATGCTTTTGTTGCTGGCAAAACTGAAATCAAAGATTAGCAGAATTTTAAAACATAAAGAGGCTATTAAGAGTGCTGATGTTGCTAAGGGTATGGAAGAAACAATGATCACAACTGAAGAGGTAGGAAAACTGAAGATTTGGATAAATGAAAGCAGCCAGTGACAGCCATTTCAGAGGCAGTGAGATATATGACCAAGCAAAGATGCTACCTACATACTGACCTGAAAGATATCCCTGGACCAAACGCTAAAAGTGATTCATTTAAGGCTAGTATTGGTTGGTTCAATAGCTTAAAGAAAAGAAATGTTTATTTATAGATTAAATAGTATATTAGACATGTACTGTATATAAGAAAGATTAAAACATGGAATAATTTGAGGGTCTGGAATGAATTAATTCAATTTACATTATTTCTAGTGGGGGGGAAATGACTCAGTTTTCAAACAAATCACTTCTTGAATAGCCTCCTCGAACGAATTAAGTTCAAGAACTGAGGTTCCACTGTGTTTATTTTCAACTTGTATATTAACTAGTAACAAACTGATCTGGTAAATTCTCCAATTTGGTAAATTGCCCAGTATGTATTACCTTTCGTTCTGAGAAGAGGGGCCTTGCTTTGGGACCGTGAATTAGAGGACTGTATTCTGGCCACACTTTGCCATAAGATGAAGGATCTGAAGAGCCAGGAGGGTGTGGCCATCTTAAGCCCTCACTCTGTCCACCTCCGTGTTTTCTGTGCTGTATAAAATTAGTAGCCTTAGCCTGAAGGGTGGCTAGGGCTTAAAGTGGGTAGGATGTCCAAATGTGTGAACAAGCCCTCTCAAGTTATTGATTGAACTGGGGAATGTGAAGAGAAGGGTATGGGCTGGCACTCCCATGTCACTACACCATAGTGTGGAACTTCAAGGAGTCTAAAAATTCTAAATTAGTATCAGAATCTCCAGGTGGTTGAAAGTATATTTATCAATGCTGGAGGAAGAGACCATATTTTATTTAATAGTTTAACTTGATTTATAATTTGAATACTTAGATGTATGCAATGTAGGTCTCCATTTGTAGTCTTGACCCCCTACAAGGAGTCTGAAGAGGTGGACATGAAATTTTCAATTTGTTCATTAATCAAAATATGTTTGGTGACCTTTATATTGTTAACTATAAGTTAGCCTATTGACAAATATTTATGGAATTTCTGTAATATTCTATGCATTTGGTAGCTCTGAAAACTCTATTCCTTAGAAGAACAGAAGAGAAGTTCATGGTAAAAATTTTGTTTACATTAAGAAGAGCCATTTAAAAAAAAAAGTGGGATATAGTTGGGATAAATCTATTTTTAAAAGATATAAAGCAAGATAGTTGGATTGCTTAATGAAATAAAGTGTTTATTACAAAGGAAATCTGAAAAGATGAGCTAAGACCCACATATTGCTCAATAATTCATGGAATAGTATGTATAACATTCACTGTTTATGAAAGACTTATGTGTACATAACATATGGGTGGTTCTTGGCATTTTTGAAATCAATGTAAGTAATTATCAGGTGCTGATAAATTCGGCTTTGGAGTCAAGAAAGGTAAACAACATAAGTTATGGAGAGTTCTGGCTATGTATTATAAGAGGAGAGACCATTTTAGTGATTTTTTTTGTTTTTGTTTTGTTAATCCTCAGCCGAGAATATTTTTTTCCATAGATCTGTTTTGTTTTTTTTTCTTTAGACTCTAAAGTTTAGAGAGAGTGGAGGTGTCAGACAGAGAGACAGACACAATGATCAGTTGCCTCCTGCACATTCCCTGACTGGGTCTAGGGACTGAACCTGCAACCCAGGTACATGCCTTTGACCGACAAAATATTGAACCATGACTCATTGGTGTACGGGCCAGCACTCTAACCACTGACCAATACTGGCCAAATTTAGCTTTGGTAAAGGGTGGGGAGACTTTTGAGCTAGGAGGGAAAGATAGAGACAGTTTTGAGATATAAGAGAGGAATGCCCTTTCATTTTTCCCATGAATTAACAAGTTAGATTAACTGACTAACAAGCTAAAATGGGGTGAGGGCATATTTTCAAGTCTCTTACTTGCTTTTTCTGACTTTATAACCCCAAACCCCTTCTGCAATCTTGGTGTACAAAGTCTCAATTATTTCTTAAGGCATTGTTCAAATGCTTACTTTCAGTTCTTTTTTTTTTTTCCTTTTTCTTTTTTGGACAAGAGGTTTCTGAGCCGTACCAACTGAAATTATACACACAGTACTCAGTAGGTTAGCTATGTTTTATTACTTATTTAACTTGTTTTGTAAAAAGGTTTTTAAAAATATTTTTTATTGATTTCAGAGAGTTGGGGGAGAGAGAGAGAAACATCAATGTTGAGAGAGAATCATTGATTGGCTGCCTCCTGCATGCCCCCCTTTGGGGATTAAGCCTGCAGCCTGAGATGTGCTCTGGCTGGGAATAGTACTGTGTCCTCCTGGTTCATAGGTTAATGCTCAGCCACTAAGTCATTCTGGCTGGGCTGTAAAAAGTTCTGAAGTCTGTCTCTTCCATTAAATACAGTATTGATGTTGAGGATTTGGTCAGTCTTTTATTCATCTCCTCTCCCAGCAGATATTAGTGTGGTTCTTTGAACAAGTTAGGGATACAATGAATAATTTGTCCAAGTTGTTAGCTAAAATACAAACACTATTATTATATGTAATGAAAGCTACATAATATATAATAAAAGTTTAATATGCAAATCGACCGAACTGTGGAATAACCAGTTGCTGTGACTTTCACTGACCACCAGGGGCAGGTGCTAAATGCAGGAGCTGCCCCCAGGCTGCAGGCCCTGACCGGCAGCGTCGGTGGTGGCAGGGGTTGGGGTCAGCGAGCAGGTGGTGCCATGCCAACCAAGGCAGGTAGGTGCCAGCAGAGTCCCCCTGATTGCCCTGCCAGTCACCCGTAGGCACAAATTTTGTGCATCAGCCCTCTAGCCTATATATGTAAAAGCTTAAGCAACCAGTGGACTGGTTGTTATGATGTGCACTGACCACCAGGAAACAGTCAACTTGGACAGAGGAAAATAGTAACAGGCAATTGAGTCTATGAAAGATCGCAAGCAGGTGGGGCTGAGCTGCAGTTTGCATTGGGAGGCCAGACCACTGGCCCAAATTCCGCTGCTCCCAGGCACCGCTCCAACCCTCTGGTTGAGTTTTCCCTGGGAAGCCGGGACCAAGGGATGGAGAGAGGGGAAAAAGAGTCCACCAACTCCATTCCTAGCGCCTGTCTCTTCCTATCAGACCAGAGCCACCCCAGGACTTTCAGGACAGCATGTGAAGTGGGCAGCTATTGTGACTCCCCGGTCTGCCCAGGCAACCTTCGGGCACTCATCCCGCTTCTTCGAACCTCAGTCTGCACTACCCTAGTGACCCACTTCTCCATAGCTGGGTGCGACAGACCAGGAGATGCCAGAGTGGTGGTGGAAGACTGAGCAGATGCTCAGCTGACTGGAATGAATGGGGCAGGATGAGTGGGAGGGGCTCCTCCCTGGCTGCCTGCCACTTTGAACACACTACTATATCCCTTGGGAGATGTTGGATGCTGGTTTCTGCACTATCACCACAGCTCACGCTGAGGGACCCCACCAGTGCACGAATCCATGCACCAGGCCTCTAGTTTAATATACTGTGTTTCCCCGAAAATAAGACATCCTCCGAAAATAAGACCTACTTACAGGTTTCCTTCTGAGTGAAATATAAGGCATCCCCCAAAAAAATAAGGTCCCCACTAGGCTAAACATGAGAAATTTGGTCCACTGTTTCTGAAAGAAATGGAGCCACAAGAAATTCACCAGGAAATTCAGGAATTGGATTGTTATGATGATGTTCCAGAAGATGATGACATGATTGTCATTGAATAAATGAGTAAATTCTTGATACTGTAGGATTCACATTTTGTCTGGTTTGTGTTGACAACTACCGTACTATCATACCGTATACAGGTAATAAATTTCCTTTATTTTCATTTAACAATAAATGTGTATTGTATTCTTCATGGAAAAATAAGACATCCCCTGAAAATAAGACCTAGTGCATCTTTGGGAGCAAAAATTAATATAAGACACTGTCTTATTATCGGGGAAACAGGGTAGCTGGTTGTAAGAATGCTCGCTTAAATTCTGAGATAGTTTATTT